AATAATGCCTAACATAAAGTTCCCCATTAAGTATAGGCATTACTATTACCAATATGGTTGTTTATTCAACCATTCCTATTTTTTCTTCTTCTGTTTTCATTTCTTGTCCTATTTGAGGCTGACAGATTAGTTTTCTTATTCTAATTTTTAAAGTTCACTAATTTAGAAGTTGTTCATATTATTTTTCATTTTCTTAATGATTACCCCAGAAACTGAAACTTCATAGTTAAAGCACCAAAGTTAATCAATGTCTTTGAAATTCAAATTAAATGGCCTTATATAATAATTTAATTCCAATCATCCCTTCATCAACATCTATGTGTTATTTTGCTATATATAGGTATGTTAATTCTATTATAACTTCATAGTTCACAATTATTATTATTTAGACTATAAATATGTGTTTTGATTTACCCTCATATGTACCATGGAATTTGTTTTCCCATCTTTTATGCTTCTGGCATTCTAGCTGGTATCAATTTCCTTCTGCCTCTAGTTCATTCTTTCACATTCCCTTTAATGAGGGTTTGGTGGTATAAAACTCCATTTTTGTTTATACAAAAATGTCATCATTTCACCTACTGAATAATATTTTTGTTACTCAGCACACTCTCAGATATTTTTCCACTAACTTCTGAAGCCCATTGCTGTTGATGAGAAGTCAGCTGTCAATCAATTATCACATCTTTGAAGGTAATTTGCTCTTCTTTCTAGCCCCTTTATGATAATCCCTTCTTAAGTGATCTTCTGAAATTTCATTAGGATGTGTCAGTTACATGTTTTAAATGTTATGCTACTTGGAATTTCTTGAGATCCTTGGATCTGTGGATTTTTGTCCTTATCAGTTCTGAGAAGTTCTTAGTCATTGTTTCTTCAAATACCACCCTTTCTCTGTTTTATTTATCCTTTCCTCCAGAAACTCTGAGTAGATACTTATGGAGCTTCTCATTTTGTCTTCCATGTTTTCTTAAGTCTTTTTCATATTTTCAGATTTTCCTGGGATGCGTTTTTATAACATCTTCAGTTCTGTATTTCATTCACTAGTTTTCTCTTAAACTGGGTTTAATCTGCTCTACAACCTATTCATTAAATACTGTCTTTAATTTTTCAGTTATTGAAATTCTGTTTATTTCTTTTACAATGTTCTATTCTAGCCCTTTACCCATTTTAATCTTCTTTGCAATTTCATAGAACAAGTTAAGCATATTTGTTCTATAGTCTGTATCTGATAAGTCCAATATCTGACTTTTTTTTTCAAGACTGCATCTGATATTCTATCTTCTGGATCTCCCTCATGATGCACTATTTCCTTGTGTATTTAATGACTTTCTTTGTTTATAAAATCAGAATTATTCATATTCTTTGTAGAATTCCTTATAGGCTTGGAATAAAAGTAAATTCCTCCAGCAGTGATATGTTTACTTCTGTGCGATGTCTGGTATATTTGTGTGTGATGGGTGCTGTCTAGGACTACTTTGAAATTAACAACTTGAGGTTTGGGAGAGGCATTTGGGGTGTAATATGAGACTACAAATTCATGAGAGTTTAGGTTGCAAGCAGAGGATCAAGACAGGGCAGTTTTATTTCCACTCTCATAGAAGAGGGGGGAAGAGCCTTATTTTTAGTTCACCCTTTATGAAAGGTATAATTCTTTAGCCCCCAGATTAATGGGCAGCAGGCTCTTATTGGGTTCTATACCTGGTGGGTCCTGTGCTCTGTCTTCTTCCATCCAATTTTGGAAGGCTGAGAAGACTGAGGCTTCTGTTTTGGCAAAAACCCTCAAAGTGAAATCTGCGTCTGTGTACAATTCACCTCTCTGGATTTTGCCTACATGCTGGTACCAGGCTGAGTATTTCCTACTTTCCTGCCAGATCACAAATGCACTTATAAACATGTTTATTAGTTTTCACTAAGAGGGTTTTTAGTTGTTTCAGTAAGAATCTTAGTCTGGACCCCTAGTCTCTTATGTTGAAACCTTTTTCTTGATCTGTATTTATTGTCTTAATCCCTTAAGACATAGTTTGGTGGCCCCAGGAGCCAGGTGGCCACATACATCTCACTCTCCCTTCCCTGCATACTGGAACAATGGCCAGCTCTTAAAATTTCATAATGACAGTGGTTTTGTGGACTGGCAGGCTCAGAGGCCCCATACAATGCTTAATTTTTTGAAAGCACCTACAGATTTAATCTGCTTGAATACCTCTAGTGACAAAGAACTTACTCCTTCATTAAAGCATTTGTGTAAGAAAGTTCTGTCTTGTACTATTCCATGTTACCTCACGAATTAACCTAAACAAGGGATTAATGGAGGCAGAGCAATGTCACATGTTAAGGGTCCAAGAGAATGGTGGCATTTCAAGCACGTGACATATGACTGAGATTAAAAAGGCAATGAGCAGGCTCGGAGAGGGAACCAGAATTTATTGAGAAGTTGCTACCATGTGCTAGGGAAATCAAGGAGACTAAACCAAACTAACTATTAAAATAAAAGTGCCCAGGAAATAAATATTTTAACTCAATTTATTTAGTTGAAAGAAAATCAAGGCTTAATTTAAGTAACTTGTCTGAGATCACAGAGTTGACAAGTGGCTAAGCTGGAATTTCGCATCTCAGACACCTTCCTCTGAATCCTTGCTCTTCCTTGTGAGTTTAGGATGACAGAGAATGATGGTTGGGTGATTACAGGGGCACTTCAGGCCTGTCCTGCCCAAATGGAACAAGTATCAGAAGGGCAAAACCAACCCACTCAGCTAGTGAAGTGAAATGGACATGGTCTATTCCTGGTTCAGCCTCCTCTGGCCCTCAGGAGAAAAGAGGTTTCTAGATAAACCAGGGGCTGAGGGAAGTACCAGCTATAGGACTTCTGAGGCATAGACAGGATGGGCCCCTGTCTATAAGAACCAAGAGACATTGTGCTGTCACTGTGACATCTGCCCCAGGTCTTGTGTCTCATCCACCAAACACTAACACAACTCCACCACCAGAATTATTCAGCCAAGGGAATGTCAGTGGATGACAGCCCTACTTGGAACAATTCCTTGCTTCCCCAGAGCCCCACAACAGAGCTCTGAGTGCTCACAGAACACCCAGGGCCTTCCTTGCCCAGATTCCAGGTCACTTTCTCCACTAGGACAGAAAGGGTGCCCTGGGCACAAGGAAGGGCCCAGGGTACAGGCCTTGTCTGGATCATTTTCCCAGGTGCCTGGGTTATTTCTAGCACTCCTCTTCCAAGAACACAGTCTTGCCTCCTGTCCCTGTGAATCCTCTTTGTTGTGGCATTCAACTGTTGTATTTTTTGTGTTTTGGGTAACTACAAAACATAGAAAACCTCAAAAGGGAATTATAGTCTCTAATATGGTTGTTACTCAAATAAAACACTGCCAGATTTTCCTTGTTCGCTACTCTAGGCTCATATCGACATCTGTATCTGTATCATATCTATACCATCACCTATATCTGTATCAGTATCTACGTCTGTATCAGTTTCTGTATTTGTGTTGGTATCTGTATCAGTATCGATATCTATATCTGTGTCTGCATCTACATCTGTATCAGTATCTACATCCGTGTTGGTATCTACATACATCTGTATCAGCATCTGCATTGGTATCTACATCTGTATTAGTACCTGTATCGTCATCTTCATCTGTATTAGTATCTACATCTATTTCAGTATCTGTATTGGTATCTACATCTGTATCTGTATCTTCACCTACGTCTGTATCTATATCTTCACCTATATCTGTATTTGTATCTATGTCTGTATCTGTATCTATTTCTGTATCTTCACCTACATCTGCATCAGTATTTTATCTTTATTGGTGTCTATATTTTTATCAATCTATTGTATATTTGAAAAGAAAGTAAAATCTTACCAAAGTCCCTCTTGACCTCATTTTGACACACGATGAGTTGCCACTTGCAGCCCCACTCAAGGTCACGATTCTAAGAGAGGTATGTATCCTTTCTGTCTTGTAGCCATGTTCTATAGACACATTCTGATGCACAGAAAATGTACAGTTGGGGTACATTGTTCATATGGGTGCACTGGGCTACACCCATTACTCTGAAATGTGCTATTTCATGTAACAGTGTATTTGGGGGCTCTGTCATGTTGATATATGTACATATTGTTTGTTCCATTTAGAAATAGTCCAGGTGGCCAGGCCACCCTTTGCTCAGACTTGTCCTGCTCTTCAGGCTTCCTAGGATCCCCATTGCCCACTACAGATGACCTTTCTGAGCTGTGGAGCCCTGAGCCATGGGGAGAGGGTGAATGTGTTTGAGAGGCTGGGGCAACAGTGCACCCACACACCACATCCCCCAGCCCACATGGCAGGGCAACCCACCTCCTACCATCTTCTAGGTGACAATAGGAGGCCCTGGAGTTTTAGGCCCTTGGGAAGCTCCCCCAGCCCCATGGGCCACCTGATGCAAATATGACACTCAAACATGGGCGGCCAGGGAAGGCCCCTTCTGGGCCAAGTGGCCTTGGGTGAACCCCAGCTGTGTTCCCCTATTCCCAGCATTCCTGGGGACTATCAGTGCTTTAGGGGCTCCCCACAGGTTGGTATCCATGGAGCCTGAGGGCTGCTGCTGGGCACCGAGGGGCTCTACCTTGCCCACACATGTCAGGTAGCAGTGCCAGGAAGGAGCCCCGAGCCGTGGCCCTCGGGACTAGGCATATGCAGGTTCCAGCTCTCACCTGGGGGTGATCATGGGCAGTTTTTATTCTTCACCCATGTTTCCCTGAGGAATCCAGGGCCAGCTGCCCACGGTGGTAGTGACTAAGTAATGCTCTCTCTACCGGCTACTTCCCTTCCCCGGACCTGTGCTCCCCTGTGGAGGCTACTCCACCTCTCAGACAAGCTACAGGGGCCCAAGTTGTTGTCTTGCTCTCAGGAACAAAGCTAAGATCACAGCCCTTCCTAAATCTGGCCTCTGCTACCTGGGGGCTGAGGGGAGCACACTGGTTAAGGAGACAAAGGAGGCACTGGGTGGGGGGGGGGTCAGGCCTTTTATTGAAGTACTTGGTACAGACAGAACACACAGGCCACAGCACCCAGAGCCTAACCTGGGCAAGAGAGCATCCATGAGCATCCCTCGGCTTTAGAACAGCTGGCACCAGCCTGGACATTTGGCTGCCCCTCTTGGTGTCAGCCACCCATGAATCCATCTCCACGATGCCATCTCTCCCACCTGGGCTGCTGATGGGAGCCCAGGGCATTCCAAGTGTATGGGGAGGCTCCCCAAGTCCATGGGTGGCCTCACCCTCATGCTTACTTTTTTTTCCTACAGCCAAAGTGGTGAGAGTGGCAGGGCAGGGCTGGGGGGCCCAGGTAACAGGAATAGGTGCAAGGGCTCCCTGGACCAGGTCTGGGCACGTGCCATCCTCTGGGGGTTAGGTAGTACAGCATCTGCATGGGGGCCCCAGTGGACAGCATGGACAGTGTGAGGCTGCCGTGCCTGCAGGTCCTGCTTAGCCCAGAATAGACATTGCCAGAGAGAGGGCAGGAGAGGGCTTATGGGGGCAGGAGGAGAGGAGGACACAGGAGCTGTGGGGAAGGCTTTGCCCAACATAGGAGTGGGGGGCCAGGCAGGGTCCAGAATGGGCTCAGGCCTGCGCCTCCAGGGCACGCACATGCACACTGGGCAGACAGAACCACGAGGGCGGCAACTCCTTGCTCGTGCTGTCCTCATGGAAGCGGATGTGGAGGAAGAAGTCACCCGTGTAGAGGAAGAGGAGTGCCCCGAGGCAGGCCGACTGGCCCGATGGCTGCACCTGAGTGGGGAGGAGGAGGAGACATTAGCCTGGACCGTCTGGTGGAGCCCTGGGAGTCGCAGGAGCCCTGTGAACTGCTGGACCAGGGCCATGGGGAGGCAAGGGCTGCCTGGGCCTGCTCCAGCACTTTCTCGCCGTGCTGCTGTGGGCAAACTGCTGAGCCTCTCTGTGCCTCAGATTTTGTCTTTGAAAGTAGATACTCATTTTTGCCTCTCTGAACTGTTTGGGAGTTTAGTGAGATCAGGAGTGTGGGGACAGGCAGGGTCAGGTAAGTGCAGCAGGCCTGTGCCGGGGCAGCAGTGAGGGTCGGAGATGGGCTGGGGGTGCACCGAGTATTGTACCAGTCCCAGCTGGGTGCACAGCACCCTCTGAGCAGCAGTGGCTGGCATGGGGTGGGTGACGGTGGCGTTCTGGTGCTGTGCAGTAAGGTGTGGTTCTAAGCTCTGTGAGTTTTCCCACTTTCAGCACCCCTCAGGGGAAAGGGTTATCACCCTGGTCTCTGCAGCCAGGACTTGGGGTTTAGAAGGGTGAAAGTGCCTGAGCTCTCACAGCGAGTGGGGGGATGCAGTGTTAGCATGCGGGACCACAGAAGCTCCTCGTGTTCTGATGTATGCAGACTTCAAAGCCTGCTGCCCAGGGAAGGGGGCCAATGACTGTGAAGGTCTGGGCCATGCATGGCTGGGGCTCCCAGTCTGCCCCAGACACCATCACGTACCGCATCCAGGTGGAAGGTGCTGGAGCCCACAAAGGAGGTGATGTTGTGCAGGTCGTAGTTGTGCACGCCGTTCTGGTGGTCCTGGAAGGGGACCACAGTGAGGGCGAAGGGCCCCACACTGCGTGGGCTCCGGTTGGTCAGCCGCACCTCCAGGTGCACAGGGTCACCCACCTGGCAGGCTGCTGCAGCCTCACAGTCACACAGCTGTCCATCCACTAGCACATCTGCAAGGGACACAAGACATTCAGGTCAGGCCTGCACAGCCCAGTGGGTCTCCCCTCCTCAAGCCCAAGGACCTGTTTACTCTTTCCCTCCTTCCCTCTTCAAGCTGCCACCCACTCTGTGCCAGGCTGGGTGCTGGGGATATAGATGTGTGACCAGCCCCTGGACTCCTGAAAAGCTGTCTGGCAGAGACAGGCATAGTTATAATGCAGGGTCTACATTCCACTGAATGTGTCTGTGCCCCCAGGTCTTTTCAGAGCCTGGAAGGGCCTCCTAGACACTCCTGCTATGGCTGCCTCGCAGGGACCCAGCACCATCCAGAGAGTCAGGGCTCCTGTCCAGTGATAGATCCAGAAACCTGCAAATGGCAGGTCTCTTGAGGAAAATCAAGGCAAAAATGCAGATGCCTGGAGAGCGCCCCAGGAAGACAGAGTGACACAGCCACAAGCCCAGAACACCTGGAGGCCCCAGGAGCTGGACAAGGCAGGAGGGAACCTCGCCAGAGGCTGCCAGGCCTGCTGCACTGTTCTCTCAGACCCCAGACCTGACAGAGAATGCGTGTCTGTTGTTTCAGGCCACCCAGTTTGTGGTAAGTGGTTTCAGAGTCTCTCTGCCTGTTTCCTCCTGCAAGCCAGGCCCCACAAACCCTGGTTTGCAGGGAGGTTGATGGCCTTGTGGACTAAAAGGAACCTTACCAACTCTGTGCACTGTCTAAAGCAGTGGTTCTCAACCTTCCTAATGCCATGATCCTTTAATACAGTTCCTGTGGGTCATGACCCACAGGTTGAGAACCCCTGGAAAGTATGCGTGAGAGAGAACGGCTAGAAAGTTAACAGAGCTTACGCGGGTGTCAGACATACCCTTATGTTAACGCACGGTCTATGATGAGGTTCGTGATAAACAGGAGTGGAACATGGTCTGGGCCATCAGAGACAGAAAGGCTGAGGGTCAAACTTGATCAGAAAAGCTTCCTGAACCTCCTGAGTCTTCTTTCTCACCAGAGAGGGTGATGTGGTAGATGGATAACACCCCCCTAAGTTTCCCCCAGTCTACTTCCTGGAACCTGAGACTATGTCCCCTCATGAGGCAGAAGGAACTTGGTAGATGTGAGAAATTTAGGACCTGAGGTGGGGACAGAGTCATCACGAGGTCCTTACAGGGAGGCAGGAGAGCTGGAGAAGGCAACGATGACGACAGGAGCAGAGACAGGTGGAAGGTGCTGGGCTGTGAGCTACAAAGATGGAGAAGGCTGAGACGGCACCTCCCACAGCAAGGACACAGGTCCTCCCCGAGTCCCCAGGAGCAAGGCAGCCTACTGACCTCTCAGACTCCAGCCTCCAGAGCGAGGCAGAAAATATGTTTGTTGTTTTAAGCCACTAAGCTTGTGGTCACTTGTTAGAACAGCCAAAGAGCCCGACATGGTTGGGGTCTGGGAGCCCATGTGCTTAGAGGTCCCACCTAGGGGCAGACAGGACTGGTCCCAGGCAGACAGGCATGGTCAGGCCAGCCCCACAGGCTCCAACAACGTCCTCAGTTTCCCCACCTGTGATGGCAGTGCCTCCCTCACCAGGTTGTCAAGCATGTGCCAGGTCCTCTGGGAAGGTGCCAGACAGCAAGGTGCTCGAGGGGTGTCGGGTGCTGCCTGGCCCAGGCTAGGAGTGCGTGTGCATCTGTTTCATTCCCACTCTGAACACCTGACAGCTCTGCCCAGGCATCGACGCATGCTTTACACTGGTCAAAGGGGACTCTCTGTTTTCTCTTAGAGCCCCTCCCTCCCACTTTCCCCTGCAGAGTGGCTCCAGCACCAGGACAGGCTTGGGCGGAGCCCCTTCCACCTGGACCCCAGCCCTGGCTGCGGGTATGTCCAGTGGTCAGTGTGGCTGGTCCTTCTCTACCTCTCTCCACCCACCCTTGCCTGTTGCCCCTTTTGGGTCTCTCCATACCCACACTGGCTGTTCCGATCCCCTCAGTGCACAGCCATGATGGTGGTGTGGAAGCACTCAGAGGGCTGTCCTTTCCTTGCTGGCCCCTCTGGCCCACAGCTTCCCTTTATGTTCCGAATCAAAGGGACTCCTGAGCACATCCAATCCCCCTGGGGTCCCTGTAGCCTGCATGGCCCAGAGCTGGCTCCCCTCCAATGCTGTGGCGTCCTCCTCCCAGTGCCCCTCACTGATCCTCCGGTATGTCACTCCTGCTGCAGGGCCTTCGCACCCTCTGTCCTTGCCAGCTCCCTCCAGATGGTCCAGCCCTTGACCTCCCCCACTTTCTGTCTCCCTGCCACTTGTACTTTCTCATGGTCTCTCTGGAGCTGCCTTGCTTGTCCATTTCATTACTGTGTTCCTCCTCCCAGGAAGCTCCAAGAAAACTGGCACTTGCCTGTCTTGCTCTTCCCAGTGTCCCCAGTGTCCAGAACAAGAAGGTACATGGCTGACATTCATTTTATTTCCTATCTGCTGCAGGAACAAGTAGGTGAATGAGTGGACTCGGGTTGGGTGCCCAGGTTCGAACCCTAGAAAACCCACCCGCTGGGTATGCCCTGTCCCATTCTAGTCCTCTACGTGCCATCTGTGACATGAGGGGGTCAGAGCTGTGTCCCATAAGTTCCTTCTGAATAGAGGACTTTAGAATCATCTGCCACACTCCATCCTGGGCTCCCCACTCAGGCTGTGCTTCCCTGAAGATTATTTATGTAGGAGAATTACATGTTGTGAGAAGTCTCCCAAGAGTGGCTCAGTCTCATTTCTCAGAGCATTAAATCAGCATGGCCCGTCCTACCCTCCCACCCCCCTGCTCTGCCTCTGCTTCACACTTAATACCAGCCAGAGTCACGGACTTCACTGTGTCTGGCCCGGAATCCCTCCTGAAATCACTGCCATGTTCATTCCACAGCATGTTGATAACTCTAGCAGGAACACAGGCTATCTTTATCCCATAGGAACTCTAGGAACAGAGGATGGGAGGAGGAAGGGCTTGTGGGGCCCACTTTGCATGGTGCATTCTGCTGAGCCCTGCTAGGGTACAAGGGGCAGGGGAGCTGCCAGACAGCTGCACTTGAACCAGGGGCTGACCACTGTGGGTCTGAGAGAACAGGGCACATGCGCTGCTGGACAGAATAGGGCACATGTGCTGCTGGACAGGAGCACTCAATCTCCCCAGGCTCCTGGGAGGTAAAGTGTGTCTCAGGTGGCCTCCAGCTACCTGCTGGCCACACCACACAGCCTCCTAGGAGGGCAGAGAGTGCAAGGCACAGCTGTCTCACATATGCGTAAGGATGCTGAGTGATGTGGCCCAGACAGCGAGGTGCTTGAGGGGTGTTGTGCACTGCCTGCCCCAGGCTAGGAGTGCGTGCTCATCTATTTCACTCCCACTCTGAGCACCCAACAACTCTGCCCAGGCACCTACGCATGTCTTACACTCCCCCAGCAGCAGGCTGGGCCTGTCCTGGAGAGTTGGGGGTGAGGGGAGGCAGACCCAAGGGGGTGTCCCACATGATGCTCTCAGAAGGGGAGGTGAGCTCTTGGAGGACAGGTGCCTGACTCAGGGCCATCGTCCCTGTTCTTGGAAGGGTCATGGGGGCTACAGTCCTGCTTCTTGGGCCAGGCTCTGCTCCTCAGCCTACCCTGTCTCTCGCTGTCCTAAACTGCTTACAACTCTGGCTACAGGAGGGCAGACTTGGGCTAATTCAGGCATCCTGGCCTCGCTTTGCCAAGTGCTGCTGCTCCTGCACTCTGCAGCATTTGATGCTGGGAGGGCAGGTCAGAGCTGACAAAGCCCTGGGCAGCTGCCACGCTCATGGCACTCTGCAGCTCCAGGGCTTCCAGCCACAGGTTTCTGTGACCCCAGGAGCTCCAGGAGAAGGGTAGAGAATGTGGGGAAGTGGCCACTCTTCACTGACTACTGTAGTTGCAACAACCCATCCCTGGAACCACCTGATTAAGGCACTATCTTTGTCCTGTTTCACAGGGGAAGGCACTGAGGGGTAGGAGGGACAGGACACAGGTGCCAAGCCCTGGAACCTGGCACCAGAGCTGGTCTGCGGTGGCTGTTTTTCTAGCAGCTTTACTGAGATGTAATTCACAGACCACTCAATCTACCCATTTAATGTGCTGAATATACTAATGGGTTTTAGTATATTCACAGATGTGTGCAAACACAGTCTTAGTGCGTTTTCATCCCCTCAAAGAAAAACCTGTGCCCTTTTGCATCTCGCCCTACCTCTCCAGGCCCTCCCCACCTCCACCAGGCAACTGCTCCCCCACTTCCTAGCCCTCCCATGCCCCACTCTGGATTTTCCCATGAGTGGAACCCAGTGGTGTGGGTCTTCTGGGATGGCTCCCTTCTCTCAGCATGATGTCCTGAACTTCACCTGTGCCACGCCCTATATGGGTGGTCACTCCTTTCAATGGCGGGACCATATTCCAGGGCATGGATTCAGTGCACAGCATTCACCCTTTGACTATTACAAGCAGTGCTGCTGAGAACACTCCCAGGTGAGCTCTGTGCAGACACAGGTGTGCATTTCTCTTGGGAGCACACCTCAGAGGGGAACTGCTGGGTCAAACAGAGGCTCTATGAACCATGCAGGGAATGCCAGCTGCCTTTCCGGGTGGCCACACCAGTTCACGTTCCCACCAACCCTGCACAATGGTTGCATTATCTCCACACCTTCGATAATACCTATTATTGTCTGTCTTTGGTTCTAGCCATCCTTGTCAGGGTGAAATGACATCTCATTGTGGTTTTCATTTGCATTTTCCCAATTCAACTGTGCCTAGGCATGCAGTCCAGTGGCTTGCCACTGTCCCTTAGGCAGAGAGGCCCTCCCTGCACCCCTGCTGCTGGGGTCAGGTGTTTGGTGCAGCCCTTTTGTGCAGTCTTCACTTGTTCCATCCATAAGCCCTGAGAACCATCTGGAACTCCGTTCTGCAGGAGTTTCCCTCACTTTGGAGCCTGGAGGCCTGACAGAGGGGTGGGACCCATGTTGGAAGTCTTTTCCCTTGAG